TATCGGTAAAGTTATATTCGGAAAGAATAAACCAGTTTTATTAAGAAAAGACTTGTGTCGCTAAAGTTTCGTGGAAACGAAGTTACGGAAAATCAACTAACGAACGGAGACGTAACAATATATATAAATATATGAAATATGCATATATGATAACGGGGCTAAAGAAACAAACGTCCAATGAAATGGCCTTTTTACGTAATATTCAAACAAGATATGTAGACAGAAAAACATGAAATATATATTTCAGTTAGGATAAAAAAATCATCGTAGTTTGATTTAATTTTTGCGCAAAGCTACTCGAGGACCATCTGCACTAGTCATCCTTAATTTAGTAATGATCGACTAGAGGGAAGGTACCTAGTCAACATTACCCACCGTCAACTCTTGGGCTACTCTTTTACCAACGATTGGTTTGTTTGGAAGTTCGCGCAAAGCTACACGAAGGTTATCTGCGCTAGCCACCCTAATTTAGCAATGAAAGACTAGAGGGATAGTAGCTAATCATCACCACCCACCACCAACTCTTGGGCTACTCTTTTACAAACGAATAGTGGGATTGATCATCACGTATAACATTCCCACGGTTGAAAGGGCAAGCGTGGTCGGTGACGGGATTCGAACCCACTACCAGAACATGCCGGGCTTGAAAATCGTTGTAACTAGTATTGCAAACATGTATGAAGCACAATTTATGAAATAGTTTTACTAAACTAGTTTACCAAGACAAAAAAAAATCAATATAAAACTTTACTACTGCAACTTAGCTGTCTCACGGCTCGTGCGTTAACTCACTGTATGAAAAATTCTCTATTTTTAAATGCGTATCTAAAGACATGTGAGTAGCGTAACTTCTATGATTTTCTCAGAAATAGGCCTATCATGGCCTGATGGTTAGATGCTCGGCTCGCAATATGAGGGTCGCGGATTCGAATCCCCGTCACCAAACATGCTCGCCCTTTCAGCCGTGGGGGAGTTATAATGTGACAATCAATTCCACTATTCGTTAAGAAAAGAGTAGCCCAAGAGTTGGTGGTGGATGGTGTTGACTAACTGCTTTCCCTCTAGTCTATTACTGCTGAATTAGAAACGGCTAGTGCAAATTAGCCCTCACGTTGCTTTGCGTGAAATTCCAAACAAACCAAAATTTCTCAGAAATAATGTGTTTTAAAATTGGCTGCCTTACATCGAAAGGTCGAAGTAGAATAGATAATATTATAATAAATAATTATTTATAACTAAACAACAACAACAACAACATAAAAAAACTTTCTAAGCACACATACAAGACCTCGATTATAACAACATAACGTACCCGGACATTCCTTTAGAAACAATGAGGCGGAAGTTACAATTCCCCTAGTGTTCACTGTCAAATCTTCACTAATTGGGATTCTTTCGTTAAAGCCAGTGTAACATTTAACCTAAACGAAATAAATCATCAGTAAATTAGGATAAATGTAAACAATAAGATTTGAATGCTCATAGGCCTAATTGCTTTTCATATTGAATCATATATATATAGTGTTAAAAATTAAAACAGCATGCTATATTGGAAACTATTTTCTATATTATTTAAAATTTGTCCAGGGTCTACAGTGCTCCTTTGAGGTCCCGGAAAGAGAAAGACAAAAAAGTAAAAATTTAAAGTTTAGTAGCCTTTAACAATTAAATTAGCAAGCGTATGTTAACGAAATTTGCCAGATTATCAGTAAACATTACAATGCTTTCATACGCAAAATATTTGTTTATTATTATTAAGTCTTAAGTTTGTTAAGCAATGTTTTTCTCGTACTTTTTTTTTCTTTCTTCATGTTTCCTTTCCAACATGCAAAGTAATTTTCATTTTAAGATTAAAAATACTTTTATGGATCAGATAATTTTCAAATTTAACATGCGAAATCTTACAATGTCCAGATAGTCATCAAACGTTTCTTAAGATAAAACTTTATATTCTATCTGTTATTATCACAAACAAATCTCTGTACGGGTTCGGTAGATTTGACCGATCTTGGAACCACCATAAAAAAA